CAGCCCCGCACATCGCATGATGTGTTCTGCATACAAGTTAAAAAGGTTGGGTGAGAGGATGCAGCCTTGCCGTACGCCTTTCCCAATCTTGAACCAGTCTGTTGTTCCATGGTCAGTTCTTACTGTTGCTACTTGGTCCTTGTACAGATTCCTCAGGAGAGAGACAAGGTGGCTTGGGATGCCCATCCCACTAAGAACTTGCCACAATTTATTATGATCCACACAGTCAAAGGCTTTAGAATAGTCAATGAAGCAGAAGTAGATGTTTTTCTGAAACTCCCTGCCTTTCTCCATTATCCAGCGGATATTGGCAATTTGGTCTCTCATTCCTCTACCTTTTCTAAACCCAGCTTGAACATCTGGCAACTCTCGCTCCATGTATTGCTGGAGTCTTCCTTGCAGGATCTTGAGCATTACCTTACTGGCATGAGAAATAAGGGCCACTGTACGGAAGTTTGAGCAGTCTTTCGCATTTCCCTTTTTTGGTATGGGGATATAAGTTGATTTTTTCCAGTCTGATGGCCATTCTTGTGTTTTCCATATTTGCTGGCAAATGGCATGCATCACCTTGACAGCATCATCTTTTAAGATTTTAAACAGTTCAGCTGGGATCCTGTCATCTCCTGCTGCCTTGTTGTTAGCAATGCTTCTTAAGGCCCATTCAACCTCACTCCTCAGGATGTCTGGTTCTAATTCATTCACCACACTGTCAAAACTATCCTCAATATTATTATCCTTCCTATACAGATCTTCTGTATAGTCTCGCCACCTTCTCTTGATCTCTTCAGCTTCTGTTAGGTCCCTGCCATCTTTGTTTCTTATCATACCAATTTTTGCCTGAAATTTACCTCCAATGTTTCTAATTTTCTGGAAGAGGTCTCTTGTCCTTCCTATTCTGTTGTCTTCTTCCACTTCCATGCATTGCTTATTTAAAAATAGTTCCTTATCTCTTCTGGCTAACCTCTGGAATTGCGCATTTAACTGGGCATATCTCCCCTTATCCCTGTTTCCTTTTGCTTTCCTCCTTTCTTGGCTACTTCCAGTGTCTCAGCAGACAACCATTTTGCCTTCTTGGTTTTCTTTTTCTTTGGGACGTACTTTGTTGCCGCCTCCTGAACAATGTCTCGGACTTCTGTCCATAGTTCTTCTGGGACTCTGTTTACTAAATCTAGTCCTTCAAATCTGTTCTTCACTTCCACTGTATATTCGCTAGGGAATGTTAGTGAGATCATATCTAACTGGTCTGTGTATTTTCCCTGATCTCTTTAGTTTTATTCTAAATTGGGCAATAAGAAGTTCGTGATCTGAGCTACAGTCAGCCCCAGGTCTTGTTTTCACCGACTGTATGGATGTCCGCCACCTTTGGCTGCAAAGGATGTAGTCAATCTGATTTCGGTGTTGACCATCTGGTGAGGTCCATGTATAAAGCCATCTTTTAGGTTGTTGGAAGAGAGTATTCGTTATACCCAGCGAGTTTTCCTGGCAAAATTCTATCAGCCTGCGTCCCGCTTCATTTTGTTCTCCCAGACCATGCTTGCCTGTGATCCCAGTTGTCATTTGACTTCCCACCTTGGCATTCCAGTCTCCTGTAATGAAAATAATGTCTCTTTTTGGTGTATTATCCAGTAGGTCCTGCAGATCCTCATAGAACTGATCTACTTCTGCTTCTTCGGCAGCTGTGGATGGGGCGTATATTTGGATCACTGTAATGTTGAAAGGCTTTCCTTGCACTCGAATTGAGATCATTCTGTCATTTTTTGGGTTGTATCCAAGCACCGCTTTAGCGAATTTCTTATTAATTATGAAGGCTACTCCATTTCTTCGATGTTCCTCTTGTCCGCAGTAGTAGATCTGGTGGTCATCTGATGTGAAGTGGCCCATTCAGTTCGCTGACCCCCAGAATGTCTATCTTTAGTCTTGACATCTCACCAATAACAACATCCAATTTGCCCTGGCTCATAGATCTTACATTCCAGGTTCTATTGTGTGTTGATCTTTAGAGCATCGGATTCGTCGTTCACCTCCAGTACCGTCGGCCGCTAGCCTTCCTTTCGGCTTTGAGCTAGCTGCGTCATCACATCTGGGGCTAGTTGAACTTATCCTCTGCTCCTCCCCAGTAGCATTTTGGCCATCTTCCGACCTGGGAGTCCCATCTTCCAATGGCATACCGACATATCTCTGGTTGTACTGTACTGGTCCATTTAGTTTTCTTGGCAAGGATACTGGGGTGGATTTGCCATTGCCTTCCCCAGGGATCACGCTTGGTCTGACCTCTCTGCCACAACCGTCCCGTCTTGGGTCCCTTCACGGTTTCGCTCATGACATCATTGAGGTGCTCAAGCTCCAGCGCCCCGACAAGGCGGTGATCCTTTGCTGGAGAAATATTGTATAGTTCTTTTTAAAAAATGCACTACAAATAAGATATGTGCCATCTGCATAGGGATTCATTCATGTTTTTTTCAAACTATAGTCCAGCCTGCCAACAGTTCAAGGGACCATAAGCAGCCATTGGCTTTCAAAGTCTGAGGACTCTTGTTTTGAATGAAGTGCAGCGGTTAAGAGAATAACCATTTACTCCCCATTTAAAAAAGGGCCCACACCGGTTTTGTAGGCATGTGGGTCAACAGTATCCTAGACAGTTAAAGATGGTCTTAATTTAGTTGTTACCAAATAAAATCATGTGATAATTTGACAGGGACATTCCCAATTAATCCTCTGCTGTCCCACTTCTTCAGCTGCTGTTAAAGTGCCCCAATTCCTCTCTTCTCCCCCATTGTCCTCAACTGACTTCACTGCTGCAAACTGAGTTTCAAATGTACAAGTAGTCTGCATGCAAGCAACTCAGCAAGACAAGAAGAGATGAGAAGAGGGGGTATAACTTTGTTCTTCCCTGTAGGAATAGGCAAAAGCAAACCACTTTTTCTTCTGCAATAATTATTTGATTTTTCTCATTAATCACTTTTGCCATCTTAACACACTTTGATGTTTCTTGGCCACATGTGTCCCAACTCACTATGAAAGTTAAACTACTATTTGGAAGTTAAAGTGTAACAACTGTGAGCCTCTTACTAGCTACCTTTTTATTAGGAAGCTGTTAGAAAGTTACATTTTAAAAGTAACAGAACAACTAAAAACAAAATTACTCCTTACCGCTTCTATTTATTTCCATCATTTACTTTTAAGGGCAATGTTTTAAAAACACTTTGACATGATTATTTTCACGTTTTATACCCTTTTCTTAGCAGGACTAAACTTATTTTTCCTCAAAAAAATAAATAAAAAAGCAAAAAAAAACAAGTAACACACGTTAGCTTTTTTACTGCCATAATATATAACAGTACTTGGATATTTTTAAAAATACTGTAAAGAATAATGAAGCAACTGGATTTTAAAAAGTAATTTCCCAGATTCTGAGATAAACTCATGATGTCTCCATCTACGTGGAGGTACTGGTTGCTTAGCAGGATTTGGGCCCATTGTGAGACTTGGGTTCAAACAAACATGATGGTTATCTGTAATTAACTGAAATCCAATTAATGTGTATGTTTTTCAAAATATCAAATGACAGCTGAAAGGAAAGCTAAGTCAACTTTTGAACTGTGGTTACAGCCAAACTCTCTTTCTCTCTGTCAGTCCTGACAAAAAGCCCTCTAAGGCTCCTTCCACACAGCTGAATAAAATCCCACATGTTCTGCTTTGAACTGGATTATATGGCTGTGTGGACTCAGATAACCCAGTTCAAAGCAGATATTGTGGGATTTTTCTGCCTTGATATTCTGGGTTATAGGGCTGTGTGGAAGGGCCCCTAAAAAGCTGCCAATGGAGTCATTCCTTGAAATGTGAATTACAGGGTTTAATTCTCCTTCGTTACTCTTTGCAGCTCCAAGATACCTCAGGCCTCCCTCATCTACTATTTATATATAGTTTAATGTGAATATGAATTGTATTGACACAGTTATCACATACCCTAGTTCTTAAAGCAGACTTTTGTGCGACAAACCAGAAACATAAATTGGGAAAACACATCTTGAGGGCATGGGTTCATCTACACTGTAGAATTAAAGCAGTTTGATGCCATTTTAACTGCCATGGCGGAGTGCTATGGAATTATGGAGGGTATAGTTCGCTGAGGTACCATTACTTGTTGGCAGAGAAGGCTAAGAACATTATAAAACTGCAGCTTCCACAATTCCATAGCATTTATCCATGGCAGTTAAAACAGTGTCAACCCATATTAATTTTGCAATGCAGATCCACCCAGGGGACTGCAGTGGTGCAGCGGGTTAAACCAATAAGCTTCAGCACTTGCTGTCCAGAAGGTTGGCAGTTCAGATCCGTAGGATGGGGTGAGCTTCCTTTGCTAGCTCCAGTTTCTGCCAACCTAGCAGTTCGAAAACATGCAAATGTGAGTAGATCAATAGGTACTGCTTCAGTGGGAAGGTAATGGTGCTCCAAGCAGTCATGCCAGCCACATGGCCATGAGGAGAGGTGGGTAATAAGTTATTTTAGCCATTTATTAAGTTATTTTAGCCAGTTAGTAATAAGTTATTTTAGCCAGTTATTATTAGCCATTTCCCCAAAGCTTTCTTGTTTCCCCAAAGGCACAGGCTAGAGCTGGGGAAAGTTGCTTTGGAAAGTACATTTCCCCCCAAACCCTCCAGCCAGCATGAGCACTAGTTTGGGGATTCTGGGATATATAGTCAAAAGGGTTAATTTCCCTAAACTCAAGTCATAGAGTCATAAGGCAAACAGACACACGCACACAAATTCCAGGCAGTGCAAAAATAATGTGAGTGATGACAGTCTCCAGGGAGACCATATATCCCAGGTGGCAGTCTGCCCAGTCTAGCTGGTGCAGGGCCTTTGATAGCTCTCCCATTGAACTGTCATGTCAAACAGGCAATGATTTACTATGGCAAGGGAGGGAGTTTATTAAGGCTCATGGGCAGGGGCAAGAAGGCCCAGGGTTGGCCCTCGCAACAAGCCCAAGCAAACTTGAATGAGAGGATCCTGGGCATTAAAGAGCTTCCAGCACTTACCTCATGCCCATAGATCCGGCAGGGCTCAGCTTCCCCAAGCCACTGGGTTTTGCATGAGGCTGTGTTGCTTTCAGGTAAGGAGGGCTGGGCAAAACACCAGTGAAACTGTTGCTTTCAATTGGGTTTCTCGGTGCTTGCTAGCAAGGTGAATTAGGCATCCCTGCACACATAAAACCCAGTCCATTCAAAGGATGTTGAATAATGATGGAGGATGTTTATACAAATGAAGATCTAATTTGATTCAATCTGGATACAAGTGAAAATACTACTCTACATTTTGACTGGAAGTCTGGAAGAGAAATTATTAATTTTCTCATCAGTCAAGATAGCATTAATAAAATGGACCTGACATCAGTGTTATGTGATTAAGTGACGTAGAGTGTCCTAAAATATTGAATCCTGATTTGCATCCAAATTAATAACTATTTATTTATGATCCTAAAATATAATTTCTGCAATATGTACCTCAAAATGTTATTTTAAATACTTCACAAGATTGATATAGTTTCTGTGTATGTGCTTTCAAATTGCCTGTTGACTTATGGTGACCTCATCAATTTCATAGTGGATTCTTAAGCCAGGAATACTCAGTGGTAGTTGTGCCAGTTTGTTCATCTGGAATATAGCCCACAGCACCTGGCATTTGCTGGTAGTCTCTGTATTATCCAGTACGGGTCCTGCTTCACTTCCAAGACCAAATAGTATTTTGCCTTACGTTACAATAATAATTAAAATTGGATTTTTAACATATCACTGAAATTGAACATTAAGTTATTTATATGTTGTCGAAGGCTTTAAAGGCCACAATCACAGGATTGCTGTGAGTTTTCCAGGCTGTATGGCCATGTTCCAGAAGCATTCTCTCCTGACGTTTCACCCACATCTATGGCAGGCATCATCAGAGGTTGTGAGGTCTGTTGGAAACTAGACAAGTGTGGTTTATATATCTGTGGAATATCCAGGGTGAGATAAAGAACTCTTGTCCATTGGAGGCAAGTGTGGATGTTACAATTGATCACCTTGATTGGCATTGAATAGCCTTGCAACTTCAAGGTTTGGCTGCTTTCCACAGATATATAAACCCAATTTGCCTTGTTTCCAACAGATCCCTCAACCTCTGAGGATGCCTGCCCTAGATGTGGGTGAAGTGTCAGGAGAGAATGCTCCTGGAATATGGCTATACAGCCTGGAAAACTCACAGCAACCTGCTAAGTTATTGTTACAAAGCAATGGGACTTTATTATTACAGGAGTAATCTCTGATGTATACTTTATCATTCTCATATTGTCTAAAGCAGGTCCAGAAATACATTTCCTCTCCAATTGGCTTAATGTCTTTGGCAATACCCCATTTGTTCTACTTTTTCATGTCTTCATTTTTTTCCCTTCCTAACATCTACAGTTGTGGTCTCATCGGAGAGTCTAACATTTCATAAAATGTTTAACGTTGTAAAGTTGCCCTGCAGACTTTTGAAATAACTCTCTAGCTTTGCATTGTAGTGACAGGTTTAAACTTGGAGTACTTGAACACTATAACTACATGTTAAAATCACAGACTTGAAAAGCTTTAAAATAGTACTATTCAAAGTAATGGTTCGTGAACCAATGCCTGCCTGCATCCCATCAGCTATAAGTCCCCAAAGAGCTTTCAGGAAAGAATGCAAAATATTGTAGCCAATGGGAAACAATTATGGTATTGATCTCTGGGGAAAGCTTACTGGTTCCCCACAAATAATAATTTAAGAAGTGCTGCTATAAAGCACACAGGTGGTGGCATAATTTCTTTAAGAAACAGGTTTACAAAAGTGTTGTTGAAGGCTTTCATGGCTGGAATCACTGGGTTGCTGTGAGTTTTCTGGGTTGTATGGCCATGTTTCAGAAGCATTATCATCTGACGTTTCGCCCACATCTATGGCAGGCCTCAGAGGTTGTGAGGTCTGTTGGAAACTAGGTAAGTAGGGTTTATATATCTCTGAAATGTCCAGGGTGGGAGGAAGAATTCTTGTCAAAGCCTGGCTGGTTGCTGCCTGGGAGGTCCTTTGTTGGGAGGTGTTAGCTGGAATTCAACCAGCCAGGATTTGAAGCTGCAAAGCCATTAAATACTAATCAAGGTGGCCAATGGTAACATTCACACTTGCCTCCAACAGACAAGAGTTCTTTCTCCCACCCTGGACATTCCACAGATATATAAACCTCATTTGCCTAGTTTCCAACACACCTCACAACCTCTGAGGATGCCTGCCATAGATATGGGTGAAATATCAGGAGAAAATGCTTCTGGAACATGGCAATACAGCCCGGAAAATTCACAGCAATCCAAGTTTTCAAATCCTTGTACTCAGTTTTCATGGCTAAGCAGGGCTTCGAACTATGGTCTCCAAAGCCATAGTCCAACATTCAAACCATTACACTATGCTCTCTATTATAGTGCCTATGGCCTATAATATGAAAAGTATTTAACATCCCTTGCCCTTGAAGAAAAAAGGGAATCAGTATTTTGACTTCTGGTATTTGTAACCATTTAGGGTTTTGTATTTTGTATTAAGAGAATTGTCTCCTTATCCCAAATGCTTCTTTCATGTTATGAGCACCTTATGAGGCTGTACTGCTTCATGTCTCCACACCATCCCGAGGAACAGTGGGTGGATATATGTGTAAAGGCCATTTAAAAGCAAGACAGTAATAGGAACACGCTTTTAAAAAGGCCCTGAAAAGATATAAGTTGTTAACAGTTGGAACAGCTGTTGGTGCAGGTTTCCACAGACATTTCTCCAGAGACCTTCACAACCCCCAGAATGTCAAAGGCTGTTGTGGGTGGTAAATAGTCAAGAAAGAGTCAGAAAATATGAAATGGAAAGGAGATGGAGCGAGGTGAAATTAATTCCCAGACAATGAGAAACTTGAAAATAGACGAGTAACAGGCATTTGGAAAGAAACCTGAGATGGAGTGAAATAACCTAACAAGCGACATTTAAGCAGACAGATGTTCATTTCCTCTAAACATTTTCAGACCTGTCTCAGTGAAGAACTTTTACTCATTCACATTAGAGAAAACAAGAGCATGTGAGCAAGTATATGTGGAATGAGGTTAATCAATTCAGAGTCAAACTGTGTTTTTGTAGATGACGCATGCTGAAATCAATAGGATTTTTTTCTAAGGGCTTGGATATTGACAACCCTAGGGTGCTGTTTTAAAAATTTCACAAGTGGGGCCTTTGATTCACTGAGCGAGCAATTAATGTTTACCTAACAATTCCACACAAAGAAGTCAGCAGAATTTGATATAATTAGGTTTATTTGCATTCTGTCACTCTCTCTCTTTCTGCCTTCCTCTGGTTCCAGAGACTACAAAATTCAGGATAATTCAGCAGCCTTTAGCACAGCATTTCTCAACCTGGGGGTCAGGACCCCTGTGGGAATCATGAGGGGATGTCAGAGGGCTCACCAAAGACCATCAGAAAACATAGTATTTTCTGTTGGTAATGGGGGTTCTGTGTGGGAAGTTTGGCCCAATTCTATTGTTGGTGAACTATAAATCCCAGCAACTACAACTCCCAAATGTCAAGGTTTATTTTCCCCAAACTCCACCAGTGATCACATTTGGGCATATTGAGTATCCATGCCAAGTTTGGTCCAGATCCATCATTGTTTGAGTCCACAGTGCTCTCTGGATGTAGGTGAACTACAACTCCAAAACTCAAGGTCAATGCCCACCAAACCCTTCCAGTATTGTCTCTTGGTCATGGGAGTTCTGTGTGCCAAGTTTGGTTCAATTCCATCGTCAGTGGAGTTCGGAATGCTCTTTGATTGCAGGTAAACTATAAATCCCAGCAACTACAACTCCCAACTGACAAAAATCAATCCCCCATAACCCCACGAGTATTCAGATTTGGGCGTATTGGGTATTTGTGCCAAATTTGGTCCAGTGAATGAAAATACATCATGCAGATCAAATATTTACATTACAATTCATAACAATAGCAAAATTATGGTTATGAAGTAATGAAAAAAAATTATGGTTGGGGGTCACCACAACATGAGGAACTGTATTAAGGGAGGTTGAGAACCACTGCTTTAGCATACCTTGAGAAAACGAAATACAGTTCACAACCCATCTAACTGTTTCCTTCATATGGCAAGGCAAACATGTCTGGATTAGAAAGCCAATGTTACTGTAAATGCTCTGGATTCGGAAGTAAGCTTCAATGTGGACTTCTGGGAGAATTGTGATCTACTCCAGTAACGGTTGGTCCGTATAATCTTGTTTTGTCTTTTCTTGTCCTCCCAGGGGTTGGCTCCTCAGACATGGCTGATTGGTCTTCAGCCCCATTCCAGCAGACTCCCAACCAGGGGGCAGCCTCAGAAGATAACAATTCCACTCACCCAAAGGCAGGCTTAATTTCTCTTCGTAGGAACTCACAATCTACCAATGTGGTACCTAGGACACTCTTGCAGCTTCCAAGTATTGAAGAAGGGAAAGCCCCTCTCCCACTCTCCCGGAGAAGCTCCATCATGAGCAGCATCAATGCTCCCTTTTCCAGCAGAAGGAACTCACTGGCTGCTGGGGGAAGGCGCCTCTCCATTGGGACCTGGATGCACTACGGCAGGGTGAGTTTCTCTGGGCTGCCCCTCTTTGAACCCATTCGGGAGACACTCTATGAAAACACCTACAAGACCCAGCCAGATGAGGGCTGCAAGTTCAATTCCTCCCAAACACAGCAGCTCCTTGAGTCTGTTCTGGCCAGCTACCTCCGGGATGCCAAGTACAACCCGGCAAACAGTGGGCAGTTGGCCCAGAACCTGTCAGACCTCATCCGGAGCAGAGTCAAAGACCTAAGCCCACCTCGCTACAAGCTGGTGTGTAATGTTTTTCTGGGCCAGCAGGCTAAGCAAGGCCTGCATATCGCCAGCCGGTCCCTCTGGGATGTGGAAAATGACAACTTTGCTTCTGCTGCATTCACCAACTCGTCAATGTTTGCTGTGGCCACAGTGCATGGGCTATATTTTGAATGAACTATCTGTACAGATCTGAAGGTGCTCTTACCCTTACTGCTATCTAAACAGAAATAACTTCAGTGTGACCAATTGTTTTCCCTCATCTAATGTAGCCTACCACTAAATGATGCAAGAGTTGCATTCCCCTCCTAAACTATTTGCCAGATAAAATATTTTATATTAACAGAATGGTTGTCTAGTACACAGAAAATATGGTAGCTTGACATAATCCATGTGATTTCTTCATCTTTTGATAGCTTATTTTTAATGTATTAACTTATTTGCACATAAATAGTATGTGTTATATTTAGGTTATTGTTCACAAATTTTCTAGTGTCTTACCAAATAATTCTCAAAGATTATGGTTTGGATCCAAGAAATGTGTTAAAGATTAAAAGCAGTAGAATAATAATAATAGTAATAATAATTCAGTATCATGCTAAAATAAGTATATTGTATATTGTTGTGTGCAAAAGATTGTACGACTGCTTATGCAAACCAACCACTATGAATATTTGCCCCAAATGAAAAGACATGTACAGATGTTATTAGATCTATTCTAGTCACTATTCTCAAAATGTTGTTACTTATAGCAAAATTTGACCTGTTGTATAGTATATGTTGTATAGTATATTGGTTTGTATATAGCAGCTGCTATATACAAACCAAGCACATAAATATATTTTTAAAGAGATTGTGCATACTATTTATTTATTTATTTGTTTGTTTGTTTACAGTATTTATATTCCACCCTTCTCACCCCGCAGGGGACTCAGGGCGGATTACAATGTACACATATATGGCAGACATTCAATGCCAAAGACACACAACAGATATAGACAGGCTATTTAACTTTTCTGGTTCCAGGGGAGCTGTCGCTTTCATCGTCCATCTGCAACACTGATGAAGTACTTCCGCATTCCCCGCATGCTTTTGCTGGAGTGCTTTGCTGGAGTCTTTTTTATGGCCTCGTAAATTAGTTAAATTAGCCTCCCCACACATAGGTGGTACCTAATTTTCCTACTTGACAGATGCAACTGTCTTTCGGGTTGCAAAGGTCGACAACAAGCTCCACAATTGGTCGGAAGCTCACTCCAACTGGGACTGGCTTCGAACTCATGACCTTTGGTCAGAAGTGATCTTAATGCAGCTGACACTCAGCCAGCTGCGCCACAGTCCCAGTGTCTGAAATATATAGGTTGCTTACTTGTAACCGTATTTCTTCGAGTGTCCATCTGCGAAATTCACACCTATGGGTTTTCCCTCGTGCATGCGCAGAAATCCGGAACATTCTAAAGTTTAATGAATAAAAAATGATTATTCTAAGCTCCGCCCACCTCCCCGCCCCCTCGGTATATATGCCGTCGCATGCGGCTGAGAGCTAGTTCCCCAGCGCTAATCGCAGCTAGGTCTATAGCATGACAGAGGGGAGGACGGGCGGGTTGTGTGAATTTCGCAGATGGACACTCGAAGAAATACGGTTACAGGTAAGCAACCTATATTTATTCTTCGTGTCCTCTGCGAAATCCACACCTATGGGTGAATAGCAAGCTACTGACCTGGAGGTGGGTCATGCCACGCAGGAAAAAAGGACAGCTCTGCCAAACGCAGCGTCTTTCTTTGCTTGTATGTCCAATTTGTAGTGTGAAGCAAACGTGGATGGAGTAGACCACGTAGCTGCTCTACAGATTTGGTCCAACGGGACTCCACGAAGAAAGGCCTGAGAAGTGGACACCGAACGTGTTGAGTGGGCCACAATATGAGAAGGAGGTTCTTTGTTTGCCAATTGGTAAGCTAGACGGATTGTTGAAACAATCCACGAGGCCAGCCCTTGTGAGGAGACAGGGTGGCCTAGCATGTCTTTTCTGTATTTCAAAAACAACTTCGGGGATTTTCTATAAGTGGAGGTCCTATGAAGGTAAAAGGAAAGAGCCCTCTTAACATCGAGGGAGTGTAATGCTACCTCCAACGGGGAGGATGGGTTAGGAAAAAACGCTGGTAGAATAATATCCTGCGACATATGAAAATACGAAACAACTTTGGGTAAAAACGTAACATCGGTCCGGAGGACCACCTTGTCATCATGGAACCTAACATAGGGAGGGTCAGAGCGAAGGGCCGTAAGCTCGCTCGATCGTCTAGCAGACGTAACGGCCACAAGGAATGCCGTTTTCCAGGACAAGTGGGAAATGTCATTAGAGGCCATGGGTTCAAAGGGAGGTTTTGACAATTGTGACAATACTAGTTCTAGGCTCCACTGAGGGGAAGGAAGGGAGGTAGGAGGGTGAACATTTTTATAGCCCTTGAGAAACAATTGAATCAGGTGATCCTGAAAAAGGGACGGCAAGCCGGACTTTTTGCGATAGGAGGATATCGCTGCTATGTAACACTTAACTGAGGAGAGGGAGAAATTTTTTTCGGAAAGTAGCACCAGGAAGTCCAAAACCACAGGAATTGGTGCTGAGAAGGGTGTGTATCCCACTGTTCGTGTAAATTTTTCGAATGATGACCACTTATATAGATATGACCTCTTTGTGGTCGGTTTATGGGCGGCTAAAATTATTCGTGAAACTTCCTCCGATAGGTTCATTGTGGTCTGATCCTCCACGCCGTCAGGGAGAGGGAGCGGAGGTCTGGATGGAGGACTAGGCCGTTCTCCAGAGAGAAAAGGTCTGGAGTCAACTCGAGGCGGAGGAATTCTTTGTTGGAGATCTGGAGGAGAGGGGCAAACCAATGTTGGCGCGGCCACCAGGGGGTGACTAAGATGCAATCTGTCTTGTCCTGAATTATTTTGGCTATGACAGGGGATAGGAGAGGAAGGGGTGGGAAGAGATAGAGTAGGCCTGGGGACCACTGGAATAGGAAGGCGTCTCCGAGACAACCTGGGAATGCGCGAGGGCGGAGCCTTGCGCAGTAGAAAGGGCAATGCGAGTTCGCAGGGGACGCGAACAGGTCTATCCTGGGAATGCCCCATTTGTGGGTGAGGGCTCTGAATTGTGTGTGATGAAGTCGCCATTCGTGATTGTTTTTGGAGGACCTGCTCAGAGAGTCCGCTAGTGTGTTGTCTTGGCCTGGTAGGTGGATAGCCGTGAGAAGGACATTCCGCCGAATGCACCATTCCCAAATCCGTGTCGATATGGACAATAGTGTTTGGGAACGTGTTCCCCCTTGCTTGTTGATATAGTATTTGACTGCAGTGTTGTCTGTCACAATTTGTACTTTGTGGTTCGAGACGATGCGGACAAAGGCTCTGAGTGCCTTTTCTACCGCCATCATCTCGAGTGCATTGATGTGGAATTTGCGGTCCTGAAGGGACCACTGGCCGCTTATTTTGAACCCCTTGAGGTGTGCTCCCCAACCCGAGCTGGAGGCGTCGGTCGTGAGGGACATGGACGGGTGAGGTTGGATGAAGGGCATCCCTGATTGAACATTGTACTGATTTGTCCACCATGACAGGGAGTGGAGGACGGAGTGTGGTGGGTATAGGATACGGGATTGAGGTTCCCGGAGGGGGTCGAATGATTTGATGAACCATCTCTGAAGTGGTCTCATCCTCAGACGGGCGAATGGGGTCACGTTTGTGGTAGATGACATGTGACCAAGTATGGATTGGATGGCCCAAGCCGAAGTTCGTCGAGATTTTTGGAGGTTCAAGATAGCTTGCTGAAGATTGAGGAAGCGGTCTTCCGGGAGGAAAGCTTTTTGGAGGTTGGAGTCTATCACGGCTCCTATGAACTGGATTCTTTGTGTTGGGATGAGATGGGATTTTTCCTGGTTTACAACCAGACCCAGGTCCTGCAAGAGAGACAAGGTGTAATGAATATCGTTGCACAGTTGCGTCTTTGAGAGAGAGCAAAATAACCAATCATCCAGGTACATAAAGATCGTTATGCCTTGTTGGCGGAGGTGTGCAGCTACAACTGACATGCATTTTGTGAATACTCTGGGTGCAGCGGACAAGCCAAATGGAAGAGAATTGAAGGAGAATTGGGTGTTGTGTACCGCAAAGGTCAAGAACCTGCGGTGGGATTTTCTAACTGAAATGTGGAAGTAGGCGTCGCGAAGGTCTACTGTTGCTAGCCATGATCCTGGTGGAATGAATGGAAGTATGTTAGGGAGTGTAACCATGCGGAATTTGCGTGGTGTAATAAAAGTGTTGAGTCTGCGAAGATCTAGGATGGGGCGTAGGCCCCCATCCCTTTTGTCTATCAGGAAATATCGAGAAAAGAAACATTTGTTGGCATCATGAGCAGGGTTGACCGATATGGCTCCCTTTTGAAGGAGAGAGTAAATCTCTTCCCAGATCTCCTGGGAGGGTTGGGTGAGGAGAACTTTTCCAACAGGCGGGTAATTGTCAAACTCTATTGCATAACCTCTGTCGACTATGTCTAGGACCCAGGCATCTGTAGTTATAGTCTGCCAGGTTTGTAGAAAAGGTTGTAATCTGTTTAGGTATGTAAGTGGTGGGGTGTGTGTGGGAGGATGAGTGACAGTGATGAGAGGTGTGCTAAAAACGACGTTTGTTGTTGTTAGAAGGTCTGGTGCCACGGTACTGACCTCTGAAAGGGAGTTGCGGGCGTCGTGGAGTTGTAGACTGGCCGTAAGGTCTTTGTCGTCCTCTGTAGAAGGAGGTATTGTAGGGTCTGGTGTAGTAGTGAGGGCGGTAGTAATATGAGCCCCATCGCTGGCGTTGATGAGAATATGGTTGTTGGTCATATTTGAAGACCGTTTGTTTCATCTTATGAGAATGCTCAAGTTGTGAGTCAGTTTCAGGGTTGAAGAGACCTGCCTCATCCATAGGAAGATTTTCAATAAGGGTGCGTTGAGATTGTGAGAGGATAGCAGCCCTTAACCAGGCATGGCGACGAAGGGCCACCGAGCCCGCAATGAGTTTGCCCGAAGCGTCAGCTGTATTTCTTGACAGGTCCTTTTGTAAAGATGATAATAGGAGGGCTTCTTGTTTATAGGCCAGAGCCAGTGGTTGGTCGGCTGGTGGTAGCAACTCTAGATAGGGTGATATTTTGTTCCATAGGTAGGTTTGGTATACACTCATGTATACTCCATAATGAGCCATGCGTGCGAATAGACACGCTGAGGAGTAAAATTTTTTGGCCATAGAATCAAGTTTCCTTCCCTCTTTGTCAGAGGGGGAAGTTTGATTTGTTTGTACAGGTTTTGGTTGAGGATCAGTCACAATAGAATTTGCTTTAGGCATTTTAGATAGCCATGAAGCTGAGGATAAGTCAATACGGTATAAATTTTCTGCCCTTTTGGGAGTTGCCGGGATCATAGCCG